ATAAAAATGATAAAAATGATACAAATGAATCGAATAATTTAGCAAAAAATAAAAATGATAAATTATTTAATGATGAATTGAGTAAAGAATCATCCGTATCTGATATGGAATGGATTAGAACGAAAATGAGAAGAAGACTGGATATAGATGACAATGATATTGATGATAATGATGCTAATGTTTATAAGGTGAATTGTGTTTGCAACTTATTTCACTTTTATTTAATGATCATCAAAGTTATTTAATAATTTTTTATTCAAAATATTTAGAATAAAACTTCTTCAAAAATCGAATTTAATAAACATAATAAAAGTAATAAAATTTATACTAATACGTCATCAGAAAATGATGATTCCAAAGAAAATGTCACTTTTAATTCAGAGAATGGACTTAACAAAATGAAAAGTATGGCTTCTCATAATGAGACAAATGTTAATCAATCTGGCAGACCTACAGATGTTCCACCTGAAGAATCCATTGGTGAAACTGGTAGATTGTTTGTTAGGAATTTACCATACGTATGCTCTGAAGAAGACTTACAGCAGATATTTAATAAATTTGGCCCACTTGCCGAAGTAAGTATGATATAGTTATGTTTTATCTATAAATATTTTTTGAGCAATTTATTTTAATATAATTGATTCGATAAAGGTTCACATACCACTTCAAGAAATGCTTTTGTTTCTTGGATGATGTGAGTCTCTGCAAGTGCAAGCTTTGAAGCCATGTTGTCGGACTCAGGGTCCAAAATGTCCGATTTTTTTACATTAAATCGATGTGCTATTGACTCGGCGATTGCATCACTCTGAATAAAAATAAACGATTAAAGGATTTGATTGGACATTTTAAACATACAGGTTTGGCATGTTCAACAGTAATTTTAGAAGTAAAAATAAAAGTTTTATTAAAATAATTTAAAGCGTCATTTGCTTCTTTTTCTGTACGATATCCAATAAATCCGAAACATCGAGATTTCCCATCTCTATTCATTAAATTTATAAAAGAAAAAATTTATATATATAATTCATCACAAAAATTAAAATATGAAAATTGTAGTTACGCAGTTCGTATAATCTTTGCATCCGTAACTTGTCCTTTTGTAGAAAAATGAGCGCGAAATTTTTGATCAGTTAAATTTGCTGGAAGACTTTTTACAATCAGGCGAGACCTGTTTAATTTAATTATTAGTTAAATTAGAATATACAAATACAATACCGTTCAAAAAAAGAATTTACTCACATTCTGAAAAGTGGAGTTAATCTGATCTGATCTACAAGTTAAAAAAGTTTTTTAACATTCATGTGATTAGAACTATTTTTGGGAGTTCGGTGAATGGCCAATCAAAAATGTGTGAAATTGATAAGCAAAAAATGTGAAGTACGAGACTTGGAGCATTAGAGAATGTCGAAGTCCATTTTACTTATATTAATTGTCCAGGTTATGTGCTATTTTTTAGAGATTCTCGTTGCAAATTTTATAAAGAAATTCGTAAATTCGTAAGAAAAAAACATATATGAATTTCTAGATATTCGTTGAGTGACAATTTTGAAAATATTTTAGATGATTCAAAATATTTGCATTCAGAATATTTGGTACTTTACTTTACTAGCTAGATTAAACTAGTATGAATCATAATAGATAACTGATAAGAAACTTTACATTAATAGTCAATCAATTGATAATTGAAAAAGAAACGGCTACACGTATCTCTATTATGATAACTAAATAATTTTGACAAATATTCTACAATTGTAGTTTATACTATCGAATCAAATAAGATAAACTAATAGGCTTATTTTTCTTAATTAAACTACGAATTCGATTATAGCATATTTTATTTCGCCATTTTCATTATGTATAAAAATGCCATGTTCCTAACCTAATTTCCCAACCCAATTTCCCACAAAGAAAAAGAAAAAAATAAAAATGTTAAAATTTTTAAAATTTTTAATCCTTTTATTTGTCCTTCTTCATATCGTCGCTTCAACTTCGGTAAATTCTCTTGAAGGTAATAATGCCTTACAAAACGTCGACTTCGAGTTAGAACCTACTGACATCGATCGCGAAAATGATGTCAATTATGAAGATATTGACAACAGCGACGCCAATTAT